AACTTTGTATGGAATAAAATGACACCTTATATAAAACTTCCTCAGTTAATCGTTGTATTGTGTTCCAGTCAAATTTGACTGAGTTAAAAGTTTTATCTCTGAAAAATATTGTTAACTTGATCAGACTGATATAATAGTTCAATAGTTCAGGGCCAGAAGTGCCGGTGATGATCGTCTGGAGTGAGGCCCATTTAGTCCAGCACAGCTCTGCAGACGTCTGTGAATCTGACCCGCGAGGTTGGCGGCAGACTCAGGGCCGCCATCTCAGCCACCCCCGACAGCAGTGGAAGCTGCCACGGTGCCTAATCTGGCACACTTCTGCCCCAGGACCTAAAAAATATGTTGTATCCTGGATTAATCCCATCACATCCTGCATTGAACTATTCCTGACTGAGTCTATTGAAGTCATAGTGGTAAACACAAATAACTTGGATGTGAAATGGATTTACAAAGACATTTGGAAGGAGGTAACCCAGACAGACACGAAACCATACACGAGTCATTTGATTTGTACAGATCTAGAAATGAATCTACCAGAAGTTCATGCGGAGTCTGGCTGGACAATCTTTTGGGCCAACATATCACTCAAGGAATTTCACACGTTGCCATGCGTGATTCACTTTAACAACTGTGATTCAAGACCAGGCCGTCATCAACAAGACAAGCTGGCAGCCAGTGGATGGCGTGCCTGCCCCTCATTTTTAACCCAATCCAAACATCACAGTTGATGAGCATCTAGTCACTTTTAGGGGATGCTGCCCTTTTACACAGTATATGGCCAAGGATGCTATTTAAATATGGCATAAGGATCTCGGCAACATATCATGGCAGGACAAGTTATGCCTGAAACATTCAAGTATGAACTGGGAAAGTGAAAAGCAGAGTGAAAGCAAAGGGCCAACAAGTGCTCAGCATCTCTGGGAATACCTTCAAGACTGTTGGAAGAACATTTCAGGTGATTACACATCGAAGCTCATCGAGAGAATGCCAAGAGTGTACAAAGCAGTAATCAAAGCAAAGAGTGGCTATTTTGAAGAATCTAAAATCTAAAATATGTTTTGAGTAATTTCACATTTTATTGCTTACTGCATAATTCAATATGTGTTAATTCGTAGTTTTGATCATGAAAACAAGAAAAAACATTAAATGAGACGGTGTGTCCAAACTTTTGACTGGTAATGTACGCTCACATCAACGAGGCATATGGATTATGAACAACAAATAACAGTTCAATACTTGGGTGGCACTTTATAATAATGCCCCACTAGTAAGTATTAGTGAGGTATTGGCAGGTGCTTCATTCTTACTATGCCATTTATAAATACAGTTATGTTTATCCATCTGTTACTGTTACACCATGCACAGCTATCACTGCTATTACATCACTGCTAGTAAAACTGATAATCATAATCATATCCTTTCATTCATTTCCGCTTATCTTTTTTCAAGGTTGAGGGGGCACTGGAGCCTGTTCCAGCTGTCTTAAGACAAGAGGCAGGGTACACCTTGGACATGTCGCCAATCTGTCCCAGGGATAACCCACATACACAGACAACCATTCACACTCACATTCACTCCTGCATTCACACCTATGGGCAATTTAGAGTTTTCAGTTAACCTGTCCCCACTAATTGCATGTCTTTGGACTGTGGGAGGAAGCCGTAGTACCCGGGGAGAGCCACACAAACACGAGGAGAAGAGAACTCTAAACAGAAAGACCCTGGCCTGATAATGAAATTGGTTTGCTGCAGTTGCTATATGTAGTTTCAGATGCTAGTTTAATTGCAGAAGTTACCATGTTTTGTAGAAGATGTTGCTGTAGTTTGCAGGTTTTGTGGTTAAAACTGTTACTATACTTTTCTGATGATATTGCTTGTAGTTTCAGTCATTGAATTAGTTGCAGATGTTGCCATTGCTTCAGTGTGTTTGTTGGGTTGCAGTAGCTATGCTTACTTACAGTTTTTTTTGTGCTTGTTTTACATTTGTTATCCAAGTTGGAATCTTTAGTCACATGTTTTTAAGGTTGCTGCAACTCAAATAAAGTTGCAAAAGTTGCCAAAGTGATCCTTGTTGTTGTGCTATTGTTGCTATTGTTGACATTGGCATTGTTAGTTGCAGGTGTACTGTCAGTGGTCACTTTCTTCATTGTAGGTGTTGCATTATTGTCACAGGTTAGTTTAGCTATAGTGTCTGATTAGTTGTGGGAGTTGCCTTGTGTAGCTGTAGCCATTGTTGTAAACATGAGGGGTTTTTTTTGTAGTTTTTGCAATCTCAGTAACAAACTTAGTTGCAATTGCAGTTTTTCTGATAAGTGTCTGTTACAGTGGTTGTAGATATTTCTGTAGTTTCATTCAGAAGTCATTTATTTATTTAAAGATGTTACTGTAAATGTTGCAGTGATGGGTTTGTTTACCTCATTTAAGTGTTGCTCCTATCAGAGAGCCCATTCTGATTCCATTTAGTAACAATTTTACGGGTTTTCCAATGATTGTGTGATGACTGAATTTACCACCTAAAAACCGAGCTCACTAACATTTTTTAAAGGTATTTACTTCAAACTTACTCCTCATCCTGGAATACACCAGATTCTGATAACTCCTCCCCTTTTACCTGACAGCACCTCCTCTTTGTCTGTTTCCTCATTCCCTCCCATTCAGTCTATACTTTGAAGATGGGCATAACCAGCATCTGTTGACGTGTAAGAGCAGACAGCCTCCATTTCCCACGTAAACACTGTTGATTAGATCACAGCTCAGAATAGTTTCACTTCTGCAAAAGACAAACCAGCAAGTCATTGTTGCTAAGAAAAGAGAATGGATGAAGAAAACATTTCTTGTTCGATCTGTTTTGATCTACTGAAGGATCCGGTGACTATTCCCTGTGGACACAGCTACTGCATGAACTGTATTAAAACCCACTTTGATGAAGAGGACAGGAAGGGAATCCACAGCTGCCCTCAGTGCAGGAAGACTTTCATACCGAGGCCTGTCCTGGAGAAAAACATCATGTTAGCAGCTTTAGTGGAGCAGCTGAAGAAGACTGGACTCCAAGCTGCTCCAGCTGATCACTGCTATGCTGGACCTGAAGATGTGGCCTGTGATGTCTGCACTGGGAGGAAGCTGAAAGCCATCAAGTCCTGTTTAGTCTGTCTGGTCTCTTACTGTGAGAAACACCTCCAACCTCACTATGATGCAGCTCCATTAAAGAAACACAAGCTGGTGGCCCCCTCCAAGAAGCTCCAGGAGAACATCTGCATGGTTTCAGATATACAAGAGGAAGTGACAGACATCTCATCAAGAGTTGCTGAAGAGGATGTTTTACTGTCACCACCAGAGCCAAAGACCAGAGCTGGATTCTTAAAATATTCACATGAAATCACACTGGATCCAAACACAGCAAACACACATCTGTTATTATCTGAGGGGAACAGAAAAGTAACAACAGTGAAAAAACATCCAACAACATCTGATCATCCAGACAGATTCACTGGATGGCTTCAGGTCCTGAATAGTGAGAGTCTGACTGGACGTTGTTACTGGGAGGTGGAGTGGAGAGGGAGAGGAGTTGGCATTGCAGTGACATACAAGACTATCAGCAGAGCAGGGAGCTTAGATGAATGCAAATTTGGATTCAATGACAAATCTTGGTCTTTACGTTACGATTCAAATGGTTTTCAGTTTTGGCACAACAAAGTCCAAACTCACCTCTCAGGTCCTCGGTCCTCCAGAGTAGGAGTGTACCTGGATCACAGAGCAGGTATTCTGTCTTTCTACAGCGTCTCTGAAACCATGACTCTCCTCCACAGAGTCCAGACCACATTCACTCAGCCGCTCTTTGCTGGACTTCGGTTCTTTTATTATGACAGTGACACTGCAGAGTTCATTAAACTGAAATAGACAGAAATGATTGAAGGACATTTGGTTAAAACAGGTTTTTCTAGTTTCCACTTTCTTTGGTCTACATTGTTGTTGCTCAGAGGTCATTGATGTGCTGTTTCTTAACCTGCCAGATCTGCAAATGAAGTCATTTTACATTTGAGTCTTTTGGACAGATGTTAACAGGGTTTTGTTGATGCTGGTGTGGTACATGTAACTCATCACTCATATTTTTATACCGTGTGTTGTCGATATATTAAAAAGGTTAAACACAGTGTCTGCTTCAAATCCTTCCTCTTCCTGGAATACATCAGAGAGTGGTAACTCCTCCCCTTTTTCTTAAAGGCCGGGGCTTCTTTTTTTCCACGACTCCTCATTCCCTCCCATTCAGCTCAGACTAGTTTTACTTCTATAAAGACAAACCCACACGTCATTGTTACTAAGAAGAGAAATGGTGGAGAGGGAAATTAAAACAGATGATGAAATAATTTGTTGTTTCAATCTACTGATCACAGCCTGTACACTAAGAAAACCTATGTGAGCTCTCAGTAGAAATTATTGTGAGTTGCGACTCTTTTCTAGACTCTTACAGCCATTACAACCATTTTAAGGGTTCCTCCACCTGCTGAATCCACTTTAACCCTGACTCCACACATTTTCCTCTTTAAAGGCAAAGTCCCCTTCTACAGTGTAGGCAAAAGAAAATGGAGCCGTTTAAAAAAAGATTTCTCTGCTCATGCTCACCAGTTTTCATGCTCGATGTTCCCCGCCTCGGGTTTTTATGTTTGTTATGTTTCATACTTCGTGTTTCTGGTCCCAGGATTTTGTTCCTTTGTGTCATATTTAGTTTTCCTAGTTTAGGTATTTCTTAGTTTTGTCCCTGCCCTGCTTCTGTTTGTATCTCACCACTGTAAATAAAGCTCACTTGCAATAAGTATTTCGTCAGTGCCTGCACTTGGGTCCTTTCTCTCACCCCTCCACACGGCTGTGACGACAAAAATAAAGTTTGTATTCCCATCTACTGTCATGGTCCTGAGCCTGTGGACTCAGTGGTTTTGGTTTTGATTATTATCTTATGTTTCAGGTTAATTCTTGTTAGGATTTTCTTGTTCTTAGGTTTGGCTTCTGTTTTGTATTTTGAGCTCCTTATGTTCTGTGTCTCTGTGCATGTCCTGGTCCCACATCTCTGTGTTTCCTCCTGTTGCCAAGTATGATGTCTTGCCGCGCTGGAATGGTAGCGCTGTGCAGGATGACTGCTGTGTTTCCTTCGGATTACTCCTCACCCCCTACCCAACCCTGTGGCTTGTCACGTGCTCCA